CCCAAGCATCACCGGTGAAGATGTCGTCGGGCTGCGTTCCGGGCGCACGTGAGGCGGAGTTGCTGGTGCCCGCAATCCATCACCAATTGGTAGAGTCTCCTCCGTCTTGGGCTTGCGCGGCGGCGTATCCTGCAGTACAGACCAAGTGCCTGTTGAGCTGTACCCGTCCAGCTCACCGCCAGCATCAGTGCGGAGATTTGGTGGCGTGTTTTCCTCCTCCGTCGAAGAATCTGCAATGCACCGCTCGCGCCAGTACGTGGCAGAGTGAACCATCTCTTGAAAGTAGGAAGATTATTAGCCAACATCCATCCCCACGCTCCTTGACACGTACCTTTCGCTGCGGTGGCGGCACTTTGTCCCCAGCGGCCAATTTTCGGAAGTGAAGGCAACTTCAACTTGAGTGCAAAAATGAGATACGCGAGATATATGCAGGGAGAGTGATTGTGGGTCAGTTCAGAGCGATGGTCGGCATTATCAATAGAAAAACCAAGATCTAGCGATAAGATGGCTACAGAGATTAAATCTAGGGGAAGGGTAGTTTATTCAGACGATTTTTAGGCTTCACGGATTTTATTCGATCCTTATGCCTGCCATATCTGCTGCAGGTATGTCGGGTGTTTACTTTATTTTTGGAAGGCGTCCACTTTAGCGGATTTATCCGTCGTTGTCTGTATCTTATGTCAATCTAAAATATTCATAGGGCGACTTCTTGTAGCACTTCACTGATATGATATCAGAAAGTCGATCATACTGTACTTTCATTTAACGGGAAAAGTACATATTGAGGGTGGAGAGGGGGGGGGGGGGGATCACTATAAATAAGAATTCATCCGTCAAAAGTAGGTACTCAATTCTATAAACGACTTGACAATCGATTTGCATAACATTGACTTTGTTGGTTATATGCTATAGCAGAGCATACCACCCCGACTTGATCTTCCTAACTGAAATGGATGCGGCGCATGTGGCGGCCACCCATTCCTAACTTCGAACGTGCATGCAACTGCGAAACGTTGTCCACGATCACGAATTCGCCCTTCACCCACCGGTGCCAGTAACAGAATTCATCCGAGTATAAACGTTTTTGCAGAGCCTCCGTGACAAAATCAGCGTCCTCATCCTTTTGGTTTGATGC